TGTGTATGTGTGTGTGTGTATATGTGTGTCTTTGTGTGTGTGTGTGTATGGGAGAGAGTGTTTGTGTGAGAGAGTGTGTGATTGTGTGTCAGTGTGAGTGTGTGTGTGTGAGAGTGTGTGTGTGTGAGAGTGTGTGTGTGTGAGAGCGTGTGTGTGTGTGTGAGCATGTGTGTGTGTGAGTGTGTGTGTGTGTGAGTGTGTGTGTGTGTGAGAGCATGTGTGTGTGTGAGCGTGTGTGTGTGTGAGTGTGTGTGTGTGTGAGAGCATGTGTGTGTGTGTGAGCGTGTGTGTGTGAGTGTGAGTGTGTGTGTGTGTGTGTGTGTTTGTGTGTGTGTGTATGTGTGTGTGTGTGTGTATGGGAGAGAGTGTTTGTGTGACTGTGTGTCAGTGTGAGTGTGTATGTGGCTCCTGGAGGTTCTTGTTGTACTGTCTCACGCTGTTTACTGAACACTTGCACACGTTGCGCGTTGTGCTGTTGTTTCTCACCCTCACACAACACAGGTTTTGAGTTCTAAACACTGCACCAAAGGAAGTTGCTCTCCTCTTTCACAGGAACCTCTCAGTTTGCGAAGACCCTGCTCTCCCTGCAGCCCATGGGGTTGAGGCCAGGGGCGTCTATGGGAAACCGATGGTCTTCAATGCATTTTGCAATATGAGCCCTGGCTCAGAGGGTCTCCCAGTGCCTGAAGAGAAGCCGACAGCCAGTCTGATGGCCAGCTATCCTGTGGAGCTCAGTACCATCCTCGGCCCTCCGGTGAGTGGTAAGGATTGTGGGAAAGGTGTCTGGGAGAGTGGAGGTGCTCAGGACTTGTCCCTCATCAATGTAAACCAGCCATCCAATGGAAGGAGTTCTACAGCGTCACAGAGTGCCTGTGAGTTGAGACTCCCTGCAGTGTTACAGAGCACAGGCACTCAGTTCAGTTACCCTGCCTACAATGGGCCTGCACTTTATGGCCATCCAAACAACATTGGCTTCCTGGATGTTAGGCGGTGTTTACTGAATGGCCTGCAGTATAGTTGAGGGGACAGGCAGTGAGGGGTTTGGGCAGCTCACACTCCCATTGTGTTCACACCATGAGGCAAACGACTGTAAATAACCTGGAAACCAGGCTTCAGTATCACAGCAGGCATACTCGGAAATAGATGGGAAATGGTGACTGTCACACTGGTTCTGACTTTCTGAAAACATACTCATATCTGTCCACATCATACACTGTGTCCATCTCTATACTGTGCACGCTGAGAGTGAATCTCTATACAGTATATACCATATTAATCACTATACCACATACACTGAGAGTTAGTCTCTATACAATATATACTGTGTTAGTCTATATACCATATGTACTGTGTGTTAATCCCTATAGAGTAATTACTGGGTCTTTGTACAATACACATTAAATGTGAATCTCTATACAAAATATACTGAGTGTTAATCTCTGCAATATGTATTAAATGCTAATAAAGATACACAAACATACCAAATGTCAATCTCTATAAGACAAATACAGGATATTAATTGCTGTATAAAACATACTGAATGTCAATGTCAATACAATATATAGGGTGTTTAATCTCCATAAAATAGATACTGAACATTGATCTCTATACAATAACTACTAGGTGTCTAAACTCTGTAAAATAAATACTGGGTGTTAATATTTATACAATGCACGCCACGGGTCAGTCTCTATACAATGTATGCTGGACGTTAATCTCTATACGAAATAGACTAAGTGTCTAATCTCCAGACAACATTTACTGGGCGGCAATCTCTACACAATACATAATGGATGTGCTAATCTCTATACAAGTTATATTAAGTGTCAGTCTCTATACAAGATATCCTATGTGTATTGAGTATGTATATTGAGTGTTAATCTTTGTGCAGTATATTCTGATTGTTAATATTTATACATATATGCTCAGTGTCAGTCTCTTTACTATATGTACTGGGTGTCAGTCTCTATACAATTTATGCTGGATGTTAATCTCCATACAAACTAAACTGGGTGTTAATCTCTACACATTATAACCTGATTGTTATTCTCTATAGAATATATATGGAGTCACAGAATCATACACTATGGAAACAGATGCCTTGGTCCAACCAGTCCACATTGACCATGTTCCCGAACTAAATGAGTCCCACTTGCCTGAACATGGCCCATATCCCTCCAAAACTTCCCTGTTCATGTACCTGTCCAAATGTCTTTTAAACATTGTAACTGTTCCAGCATCTACCACTTCCTCTGGCAGTTCATTCCACACACAAACGTCTCTGTGTGTAAACAAAGTTGCCCCTTGTGTCCTGTTTAAAACTTTCTCCTCTCACCTTAAAAGTATGCCCCCTAGTTTTGAATCCTAGTGAAAAGACCCTTGCTATTCACCTTATCTATGCCCATCATGATTTTATAAACCTCAATAGAGTCACTACTCAACCTCCTATGCTCCTGTGAAAATAATTCCAGCTTACCCACCCTATTTTTATAACCTCAAACCCTCCATTCCTGGCAACATCCTGGTAAATCTCTTCTGAACCCTCTCCAGCTTGATAATATACTTCCTATAACTGGGTGTCTAGAACTGGACACAGTATTCCAGAAGAGGCCTCCCCAGTGGGACAACATGATGTCCCAACTCCTGCACTCAAAGGTCTGAGCAAAGATGGCAAGCGTGCTAAACACCTTCTTAACCACCCTGTCTATATGTGATGCAAACTTCAAAGAATTATGTACCTGGACCCTCAGGTCTCTCCATTCTACAACACTTCCCAGGGCCTTATCATTAATTGTATAAGTCTTGCCATGTTTGTTTGACCAAAATGCAATACCTTGCATTTATCCAAATTAAACTTCATTTGCCACACATCAGACTGTTGGTCCAATTGATCAAGATCTCGTTGTAATCTTAGATAACTTTCTTCACTGTCAACTATGCCACCAATTTTGCTGTCACTGCAACCTTACCAAGCATGCCTTCTATATTCTCATCTAAATCATTTATGTAAATGACAAACACAAGTAGACCCAGCACTGATCCCTGTGGAACACAGGCCTCCAGTACGAAAAACAACCCTCCACCATTCCTCACTCTGTCTCCCGCTGTTAAGCTAATTATGTATCCAATTGACAAGGTCACCCTGAATCCCATGTGACCTAACTTTACTCATTAGTCTACCATGGGGAACCTTGTCAAAGGCTTTACTAAAGTCCATGTAAACAATGTCTACTGCTCTCTTTTTGGTTACTTCTTCAAAAAACTCAGTCAAGTTAGTGAGACACGATTTCCCACGCAAAAAACCTCGCTGACTATCCCTAATCAATCCTTGTCTTTCCAAATGCATGTAAATCCTATCTTTCAGAATCACATCTAACAACTCTGTATTAATCTATATAGACTATTTACTGAGAGTTAATCTCTGTAGACTATACACCAAGTGTCAATCCCTATACAATATATTCTGAATGTTGATCGCTATATGATATATACTGTTATCTCAACACAATATATATTAGCTGTTATCTATATTCAATATATCCTGAGTGTTCATCTTTATACAATTTATACTTAGTGTCGAATCTCTGTGCAACACATACTGTGTGTTAGTCTCTACTATATAGATGGAGTGACAAACTTTATTCAACAGAATGTTAATCTCTATACAATATATACTGACTGTTATTCTCTGTACAATATATTGAGTGTTGGACTCTGTACAATACATCATAAGTGTCAATCTCTGTACAATATATACAGGGTGTTAAATCTCTAAACAACATATACTAAATGTTAATCTCTATACAAAGTATACGGTGTCAATCTCTATGCAATATATACTGAGTGTTAATGTCCATACAATATATTATTGGTGTCAATCTCTATGCAAAATATGATGAATGTTAATCCCTATAGAATCTATACAATCAAAGAACAAAGAACGAAGAACAGTACAGCACGGGAACAGGCCCTTCAGCCCACCAAGTCTGTGCTGACTCATGATGCCATTCTAAACTAACAACCTGTGGAACACCACTGGCCACAGATCTCCAGTCAGAAAGCCACCCTCCCACTGCTACTCTCTGTCTTCTGTAACCAAGCCAGTTCCTGTATCCATCTTACCAGCTCACTGTGGATCCCATATAACTTCACCTTCTGCATCAGCCTGCCCCGAGGGACCTTGTCAAAGACCTTCCTAAAGCCCATGTAGACAGTATCCACCGCCCTGCCCTCATCAATCAGCTTTATCTCTCCCTGAAAAAACGTATTCAAGTTTGTGAGCCACAACCTTGCCCGCACAAAGCCATGCTGCCTATCACTAATAGGTCAGCAATCAGTCGCTAATGAGTGTGGGTATCCAGCTCGGAAATCCCATGTCACTGGTCCAGGGTGTCCTTGTGGAGATGATGGGACCAATCCTAGAGACACATCTCCCACCAAACATTGGGCAGCTGTTTCCGGGAATTGGACTTTGGCCTTGAGATCTCCGGATTTGTTTCTCTGCTGCCTTTTACTGTACTTCCTCTTGACATGATGTTCTCAAAAAAATTGTGTTCCTTCATACAGGAACTTCCTCCAGGTCAGTTTCTTCTAAATGAGGATCTTCCATGTTTTGATATCTATGTTACACTAAAATTGGAGGTGTAGTGGATAGCGAGAAAGGTTATCTCAAAGTACAAGGGGACCTTGATCAGATGGACCAATGAGCTGAGGAGTGGCAGATGGAGTTTAATTTAGATAAGGTGTTGCATTTTGGAACGGCAAATCAGGGCAGGACTTATACACTTAATGGTAAGGTTCTGGGGAGTGTTGCAGAACGAAGAGACCTCAGAGTGCAGGTTCATAGTTCCTTGAAACTGCAGTTGCAGGTAGACAGGTTAGTGAAGGAGGTGTTTGATATGTTTGCCTTTATTGGTCAGTGCATGGAGTACAGGAGTTGGGACGTCATGTTGCGGCTGTATAGGACATTGGTTAGGCCATTTTTGGAATATTACATGCAATTCTGGTCTCTATTGGAAGGATGTTGTGAAACTTTGAACAGTTCAGAAAAGATTTACAAGGATGTTGCCAGGGTTAGAGGTCTCGAACTATAGGGAGAGGCTGAATAGGCTGGGGCTATTTTCCCTGGAGTGTCGGAGGCTGAGGGGTGACCTTATAAAGGTTTATAAAATCATGAGGGGCATGGATAGGGTGAATAGGCAAGGTCTTTTCCCCAGGTGGGGAGACCAAAACTGGAGGGCATAGGTTTAAGGTGATAGGGGAAAGATTTAAAAGGGACCTAAGGGGCAACTTTTTCACACAGAGGGTGGTGTGTGTATGGAATGAGCTGCCAGAGGAAGTGGTGGAGGCTGGTGCAATTACAACATTTAAAAGGCATCTGGATGGGTATATGAATAGGAAGGGTTTAGAGGGATATGGGCCAAATGCTGACAAATGGGACTAGGTTTATTTAGGATATCTGGTCAGCCTGGACGAGTTGGACCGATGGGTCTGTTTCTATGCTGTACATCCCTATGATTCTATGAATCTATGATTCGGGAGGGAGATCAGGAAATCATTAAAAAATCTGCTCGATTATTTTACCGTTCTTCAAATACATTCATCGGACACAGGACTATGGGCAACAGGCAAGAATCATCCAATCAGATTTCTGAGATTTGGCTCACTCTCTGATTGGCCACCCAACTGCCTTGCTAAAGACTGGACCAATGATTGGTTAGCGAGGCTGTGGGGTGGATCAGGATTGGCCGCAGAGATCGGAGCATCGGGATTTATTCGATTTGATTTATTTATTTATTGTTACATGTACTTTGTTACAAGATACAGTGAGAAGTGTTGTATATTGCTGCCATTTTCTGGCAGCCATCTTAAAATGCCGAAGAATAAAACCAAAACATGGAATATAAAGGCAGAAAAATAAAGAAATAAAGAAAAAGGAAAATGGAGATGGAGATCCAACTGGGAGGGAGCAATTACAGGATTAAAAAGATCCCATGAGTAAAAGAGATAGTAGGAACTGCAGCAACTCATATTCCGCTTGGGAACCCTGCAGCCCAATGGTATCAATGTGGACTTCACAAGCTTCAAAATCTCCCCTCCCCCTACCGCATCCCAAAACCAGCCCAGCTCGTCCCTGCCTCCCTAACCATTCCTACCACCTCAAGCCCCACCCCCATCTCCTACCCACTAACCTCATCCCGCCCCCTTGACCTGTCCGTCCTCCCTGGACTGACCTATCCCCTCCCTAACTCCCCACCTACACCCACGTTACTGGCTCCATCCCCGCCTCTTTGACCTGTTTGTTTCCTCTCCACCTATCTTCTCCTCTATCCATCTTCTATCCGCCTCCCCCTCTCTCTCTATTTATTTCAGAACCCCCTTCCCCTCCCCCATTTCTGAAGAAGGGTCTAGACCCGAAACGTCAGCCTTCCTGCTCCTCTGATGCTGCTTGGCCTGCTGTGTTCATCCAGCTCCAACCTTGTTATCCCATGAGTAAAACACTAGCGCCCTACTGGGCAGTCTTGACCAGAAATGTTGGTCTCAGCCTGGCACAGTGGTCTTCCTTGGCAAAGGCTTATGGCCCAGTATCCAATGGCCTGGCATGATGGTCTCTTCCTGATTTCATCTTCAGGGTATTCCGTCCTTCCTTAATTGGCTTTCCCTGAGCCCAGGAGACGGTAACTGAACTATGATGGACTTTGTCTTAATTTTACTTTTGTTCATTAATATGTGTGACTTCTGTCAGCGATGGGGCGGATTATAAAACCTTTTACAGTATTTTTCATGTAAAAGTACACCTGACAATAAATTTCTATTCTATTCTGAGATAGTAAGAACTGCCGATGCTGGAGTCAGAGATAACACGGTGTAGAGCTGGATGAACAGGCCAGGCAGCATCAGAGGAGCAGGAAAGCTGATGTTTCGGGTTGGGAATGATCCATTCTATTCAGGCGCGTGATGGAATACTCCCCACTTGCCTGGATGGGTGCAGCCCCAACAACACTCAAGAAGTTTGACACCATCCAGGACAAAGCAGCCGCTTGATTGGCACCACATCCACATACATCCACTCCCTCCACCACCGACACTCAGTAGCAGCAGTGTGTACTATCTACAAGATTCACTGCAGAAACTCACCAAAGAT